AAATCTGGTCACATTCACTGGCTAAAATCACCTGATGCATCCAGATAAATAAAAGGAGTGGCAGGGTGGCCTTTCTCTGCACTGCCCTCCACTGGCTCCAGGTGGCAATGTCCATTATGCTACCAGAGGTGCAGTGAGATGCCCCAGTAAGGGATGGGGGGGTCAGACTGCCTCATGTATGTTCTTCTCTCAGTACCTCCCTAGGCTCTGAAGTTGGGAAAGATTTTTTTTTATTCCCATTGCCATTTTAAAGAACATGATAAAGATTCTTGAGGAAATTGGTAGCCAAATATGTTAATAAATAAACAATTCTAATTTTATAAAAATAGTAGGAAAATCTGATGAGTAAGGGCCTTAATCTTTTATTCTCTGTTAAGAAACTATTCTTATGCAAAGCTGGCAGCTTGCTTGGGAGGGTGGCTGAATGTTCAGAGCCCAAGGGATTTAGGGGAGGGATAGCATCCCTTTATGCTTTGCCTGAGATTCAAAGCAACTGACATGTGTTGGGAAGAGCCTGATGACCTGGGGTCACCCTGGAAAAATTCCAGATGCATGGAGGTAAATGAGGCCCCTGAAATAAAATCCTTGAGGTTTGAAAGAGGTGAGAAGTCAGGCAGACTGCAGAGCTGGCCCAGAGTCAAGAAAAACCAACAGTGAGTCTGGGTCTGGGGTCTAGGGGCTCATCATCATCTGTTTCCAGGGGACAGCCTGCTCCTTGAAGCAGTGCCTCTAAGTGATTTAAAGAGTGGTGACATTGTGAGCAATCTTACTTGAACATCAAAACTAGGTATGGATGGATGTTAGTCCTTCCCGGGGCTCTCAGGCCTGGAGAGGCTGTGCTGTAATGTGGCCACAAGAGGTGGAGGTCAGGTCTGGCTATGTTGAAGTCCTCCTCATGCTGCCTGAGCTGGAGTTCCCACCCCAGCTTGCACAGACTCCAGCATCATGGCGGTTGGGGGTCCTGGAGTGGAGCACTGAAGTGATTGGAGTGCACCCCACTGTCCCAGCGGCAGTAGTCTCTGTTGACTAGCAGAGGTTTCCAGGCCCTGCCTGTGCTTTGTAGCATGGTGAGTGGTGAGGGATTCTCCCCCATGTATGCAGAGCACTGGTCGCTGCTGGGCAGTGAGGCTCCCTGACTGGAGTGATATGACTGAGTCCTGACCCTTGAAACCTTTGGAAGCATGAAAAGCCCAGGGACTTACTGGGTGAGATCGGTTGGGGAAAGGAGGGTTGTAACAGAGAAAGTTACTGAGGGTTCACGTATTTTACTTTGAGATGCTATAGGGAGTGCATTAATTACATCTAGAGCTGAATGGTTACACCCCAGTTATACGTGAGTTACATTATTCATGCATTCATCATTTGTTACCAAAAAATATATATAAAGGACCTTTGGCAGCATGTACATTGTGGTTTTAAAGATCAATTGGAGGGGTGCCTGGGTGGCTCAGTTGGTTAAGTGTCTGCCTTTGGCTCAGGTCATGATCCCAGGGTCCTGCGATTGAACCTCGAATCAGGCTCCCTGCTCAGCAGGGAGCCTGCTTCTCCCTCTCCTCCTCCCCCTGTTTGTGCTTGCCCTCCTTCTCTTCTCTCTGTCAAATAAATAAATAAAATCTTAAAAAAATAAAGATTAGACATGGGTGGATTCTAAAGGATCATACCATGTATCAGGATTAAAAATACATACAAATAATTCTATTTATTTAATGTGTATACACACATTTTACTATAAAATTTATTCATTTGTTTGTTTACAGAACAACTGTCCATGCCCTCCCAATATCACCAGGGCACACAGGGTAGGAATAGTCACCTCCCCCTCTTAATAGTGCTGAAAGGAGCTCTGATATGAATCCAATCAAACCCAGCCCCACACCCTCTCTATTCTCTTAGTAGAACGTTAAATCAATTGCTTCCTTTTTTTTTTTTTTAAGATTTTATTTATTTGACAGAGAAAGAGACACAGCAAGAGAGGGAACACAAGCAGGGGGAATGGGAGAGGGAGAAGCAGGCTTCCCGTGGAGGAGGGAGCCCGAGGTGGGGCTCAATCCCAGAACCCTGGGATCATGACATGAGCCGAAGGCAGACGCTCAACGACTGAGCCACCCAGGCGCCCCAATCAACTGCCTTCATTAGCAGCTGTTTAATCTTCAAGGCTGAAAAGTCTACTGTGATACCCGGAACCTTCACATAGGTCCATAGGTAACACCTTGTCATATTGTTTCAGAATGATCCTGACCTAACGTTTTGTTTGTATACTCATTTCCTCATCCCTTGACTTGTCCTAGTTTGGGGAGTCTATGAGGGCAGGCTCTGGGTCTCACTTAGTCACTGCCATGTCCCCAGGTGTAGAACTTACTTGGTATGGTGTAGGCAGTTGGCACTGTTGAGTGAAGACAAAATAATAACCCCAAGTATCCTATGAGAACATTTAAGAGAAGCTGTTTTGGGAGGAGAAGCCTCCTGGATGCAGGAATCTCTATACTGCAATCTGCTGAGGCCTGGATTACCCCCCAGCAAGTATCAGGATAATTATTCCTCCAAAAATCCATCTGCTTCATTGCTGACAGTGGGCTCTTAGCTCTTTGTCTGAAGTTCTCTGCTTCTCCTGTGCACCCACACTGGCCCTCAAGCACTTAGCAGAGTCCCCACTGGACTTACTCAGCTCCCAGCCATTCTTCCTCTCAAGGCTGCTTCTGTCCTACACCATCACCGCCCTTCCTGACTTCTGTGTCAGGCCATAGGGCATCACAGCTGTTCCCTGCAAGCCCTGGGGACCACACTGCTGCTTCACTCCTTCCATGCTCCCCAGGCACTTATTTGTCTACAGTCTGTCACATAGAGACCAAAGTGAGTGTCACAGATACATGATGACCAAAACCAAATATGCTCTATCTTTTTACAAACCCTGGTGGTCTCAGAGTCTCTCAATATAAATCTTTTTACTTGCCAAGAACACTAAATGTTAGTCATGACCTAGTAAAGAGAAATGGCTAGAATTCTCCAGATTTCCGTAACTTTTCCCCATGGCTGCCACTGTCCCTGCCAGATTCTTCAGGGTGGTTGGATAAAGATCTACATATACGAACCTAGAAACATAGATATAAATGCAGACACGTCACCAAGCATACTTTAGAAAATGCACATTTGGATGACCTCTTAAAATAGTGGGTCAGACTTCAGACTTTTTCCCCAAAAAAGCCAGGCCCATGAGCCTGTTTCATGCCTTCTCCCTATACCTCCATCTTGGTATTGGCCCTATGGATTTTATCTTTTCTGTCGTAAAGAAACAGAGAAAGAAAGTAACAGAGAGAAGGGGTGGAGCAAGACGCCAGAGGAGTGGAGACCTGGATTTCGTCTGGTCCCAGGAATTCAGCTGCATAGGGATCAAACCATTCTGAAAACCTACGAACTCAACAGGAGATTGAAGAACGGAATAGCAACAACTCTCTGAACAGAAAAGCAACCGCTTTCTGGAAGGTAGCACTTGCGGAGAAGTGAACCCGAGGCGATATTCAGGAGGATGGATGGCGGGGAGGGGGACTCCGTCAGCTGCTTCTGGCAAGTGACAGAGCCTTGGAGCACAAAATTGGAACTTTTAGAAGTCGGCTTTGCTGAGGGACGTCACTCCAGTGGCTATGTCGGGGGTGGAACCCTCTCTGGGACAGTGTGGACTCAGGACCCTCGGGATCACAGAAAGGCTGGGGGTGCCTGAGTGTGGCAGAGCTCCCAGGTATTGGAGCAGGGAAGCTGGTTGCAGAGACGGAACTGAGGAGCGGGCTCTCAGCTGCAGTTGCCATAAACCATGATCCGCGGCACAGTGGGGCCACTGCTTCTCCAGCAGGGACCCAACAAGAGGTGGATCCGGAGATACTCCCCTTCCTCCCCTGGAAGGAGTGGTGTGCAAGCATACCACAGGGATCTGCTGGGTTTGGAGACTCCACAAGGGGTCGGGTGCCAGAGATAGAAATGCACGGTCACAGGCTGGGTGAGCACGGAGTGTGGCCAGAGATCAGGGAGTCGGGAGTGATTGCTTTTTTCTAGGGGCATACTGATGAGTGGTGCCCCGGATTCTCTGCTCCTCCGGGGTGGAGATTGGGAAGCCGCCATTTTCACTCGTCCTCCAAAGCTCTACCAAAAGCTTGCAGGAAACAAAAGCTCCCGAGAGCAAACCTGAGCAGATTACTTAGCCCTACCGGCAAGGGCGGGGCAATTCCGCCTCCGGCAAAGACATTTGGGAACTAAGGCAACAGGCCCTTCCCCCAGAAGATCAGCAAGAACAGCCAGCCAAGACCAAGTTTACCAATCTATGAGAACGGAAGAACGTCAGCGCTAGGGGAATACTGCACATAGAATTCATGCCTTTTTTACCATGATTCTTGTCTTTCAAAGTTAATTTTTTTTTCAAGGGTAAAAATTTTATTTTTGAGGAACTTCATACTGCACATTTTTAAAGAGTCACATAAGAAAGCAAAAATGTTATCCTCCCCTCATCCTAGAAATAAATAAGAGCATAAAATTTCTTTTTAAATCACGGCACTTGGAAGTTTAGCACCAGCATCCAAAATGAACAAAAAGGAAAAAAAAAGCATTTACTATATATTTCAGATTTCTTTGGTTGGGGTTCTCCCCATGTGGTATTAATATTTCTTCTTTCAATTCATATTACCAAAACAGTAAAAACCAGGAAAAAAAATATAAACCTAGTGGTTGCTGAAACTGGGGAGCTTGCTCTCTTGTCTTTTGTGCAGGCATTCCCGGGATCTCAGCTTGCTAGAAAAATTGGCTGACTTTTTCCTTTTGTAGTTGTCTGTTTCATGAAGAATAATAGTAAACATTCTAATGTCCACATCTTGGTTATTAGTCTTCCACATTATTGCTTGGATGTTTCTTTGGTGTTGGTTAAGGTCATGGTCTGCTTTATGCTTTATTTTTTTTTTTAATGGTCATTACTTCTTTAGGTCACCTGGCGATGGTGAAGGTGCCTGGGGAGCCTGGTGTTACTCAGCACTGCTCTGCTCGGTGGCTGGAGCAGGGTTCTCAGATGGCACTTCACCTGCCTTGGTCTCTTTGCCATCTTGTGAAGGAGCATTAGGAGGATGGGGGCGACGCTGATAGTTGTAGGGGCGCCGGTATCCACGGCGAGCAGATGGCTGGTTTGGACCATTGGCCACTTATTGGTTCTCTTTATCTTCAGCCTCGCCAACAGCTGGGGCAGGTCTGGGGCGAGGAGGGCCTCTCCGGTACCTTGGGTGGTAAGCTGGATTTCGATGAACCAGTCCCTGAAGTTGTGCCGCCTCTGGGACTCCCTCCTTCATCTCTCCAATCTCACCAGCATTACCGGGAGGTCCACGGCGTGTGCCATAAGTAACCGCGCGGATCAGCAGCATAAAGGCTCCCTTCTACCGGAACTCCATCTGGTCCAGTCACATTGGCCACTTCTGCACCCTTCTCTCTTTCAACCACATCAAACTCTACAGTTTCTCCATCTCCTACACTGCGCAGATATTTCCGTGGGTTATTCTTCTTGATGGCAAGTCTGATGTACAAATACATCTTCTTTGGTGTCATTTCGATTTATAAATCCATATCCATTTTTGACGTTGAACCATTTGACAGTGCCAAGGACTTTGGTGGCGAGAACTTTTTTCTCCACGTCTTCACTGCCGGAGGGGGCTGAAGAGGTGGGGGGCGTGGTGCCCGTGGCTGCGGGGCCGCGTCCCCACTGGAGATTCCTGTGACAAGGGCGGCGGGCGCCGGGCCTGCGGCCTGGGACGAGCCGCTGCCCACCGGGCTCTTGGGCGCTGGGCCCTGGGGGACCGCAGTGGCTGCCTCCGCTGGAGCCTGCGGGAGGGTGGTGGTGGTGGTGGCCTTGCCCGCCTTGCTCATGCCGCTTCCTCTGCTCTCACTCGGGCACCTCCGTGGCGGTTGGTCGGCGGTTAGCGCAGCTGGTAGTCCCAGCGGCTGGGGCTCGCTCTCGGGGAGGCTGGTGTGGATCTCAAGTCGCAGGCGGGGCGGCCCAGGTGAAGTCTTGCGGCGGAGGTGGCTAGAGCTCTCAGGCTGCGCACTCGCTCTTGGGCTCCTCGCTCGATCTTACTCCAAAGGTAATTTTTTTAACTGTGTGGGGTTTTTTTTTAATTTTTTTTTAATTTTTCCGTTTTTTAACCAACATCTTATCAATCCCTTTTTTAAAAAATATTTTTCATTTTTAAAGTCATATTCTATCCCTTCATAGTAGTTATGCTTATTTTTGGCATGTATATATAAGTTGTTCTCTCTTTAAAAATTTTGAGATACAGTTTCTTCTAACAGATCAAAATATACCCTAAATCTCTAGTGTATGGCTTTGTT